TAGTAAGGCCAGGAGCCCCTAGTAGCGTCCTTGCTCCTAGTAGTAAGCCCAGGAGGCCGTAGTAGCGTCCTTGCTCCTGGGAGCGATGCCAGGAGCCCCTATTAGCGTCCTTGCTCCTAGTAGTAAGGCCAGGAGTCCCTAGCAGCGTCCTTGCTCCTAGTAGCGATGCCAGGAGCCCCTAGTAGCGTCCTTGCTCCTAGTAGCGATGCCAGGAGCCCCTAGTAGGGTCCTTGCTCCTAGCAGTAAGGCCAGGAGCCCCTAGTAGCGTCCTTGCTCCTAGTAGCGATGCCAGGAGCCCCTCGTAGCGTCCTTGCTCCTAGTAGTAAGGCGAGGAGCCCCTAGTAGCGCCCTTGCTCCTAGTAGCGATGCCAGGAGCCCCTAGTAGCGTCCTTGCTCCTAGCAGTAAGGCCAGGAGCCCCTAGCAGCGTCCTTGCTCCTAGTAGCGATGCCAGGAGCCCCTAGTAGCGTCCTTGCTCCTAGTAGCGATGCCAGGAGCCCCTCGTAGCGTCCTTGCTCCTAGTAGTAAGGTGAGGAGCCCCTCGTAGCGTCCTTGCTCCTAGCAGTAAGGCCAGGAGCCCCTAGCAGCGTCCTTGCTCCTAGTAGCGATGCCAGGAGCCCCTAGTAGCGTCCTTGCTCCTAGCAGTAAGGCCAGGAGCCCTAGCAGCGTCCTTGCTCCTAGTAGCGATGCCAGGAGCCCCTAGTAGCGTCCTTGCTCCTAGCAGTAAGGCCAGGAGCCCCTAGTAGCGTCCTTGCTCCTAGCAGTAAGGCCAAGAGCCCCTAGCAGCGTCCTTGCTCCTAGAAGGGATGCCAGGAGCCCCTATGATGTTTGCTGTGGCCGTAGGGGCCCTTCAGTTCGAACTCAGGTGCTGCCCACGCGCACGAGACCGCACATCACCAGTCGCCGACCAGGGGCTGCACCGGCCACACTGTTCTAGGTGGGGTGAAAGCCTGGAGTATTTTGAAGTTTTTGAACGTTGGCTGAGAGGTGGACCCTTTGAAACATGTTGTGCATCTGAAGTGCTAAGGTGCACGGTTTTGTCCATTCTTCCGCTCTTTTCACCGTAGGACTAGGACATGGTCTTGCACTTTACTCTTCTGTCTATGGCAGGCGGAATCTCTCGTTTTGGACCCACGCGTCAATGTACAGTTCTAATTTTGCGGGGCGTGCAGCTGCCTGTGCGGAAGGACCGCACAAATGCTGGGGGTCCACTGATGTGTGAAAACCTGTGGCCTAGCGACCTGTGTTTAACCATCGTGCAGACCCCGTGGCAGCGCAAAAAGAGGTGATGAAGGCATTTATTTATTTGTGAAAGCTAGCGCACATTGTTATTTATGTTTGTTCCTAGCAACCTTATCAAGTAAGCATTGCTAACTTCACGAGTTCACATGTTGAGACTCGATATTGTGCGCACAGATCCCATGGCGGACATGTTTTGAATGCTCAAACCTATGTGAAGGTCTCGTATTCATGCTATTAAAAAGCACGTTCTCTGGTTTGGATTCCTCATTGACTCATTGTTTTTATGGTGCATTGCCAGAGAGTATTTCTTTGTTCAGCCAGCCCCAGTTCTTTCTACTCTTGCAGAGACAGAATTTCTTTGGCCTTAAGTTTGACCCATCTGGAGATTACTTCACACCCAGTGCCACGCCGACTCTGCTTTTCCTGTAAGGGATAGCGACAGCTGCAACTCATTCCTTTTAGGACCTAACCTTCCCTTCTTCAAATGTGATTGTGAATGGCATCCTCCCAATTTGGACTAGTACTACTTTCCCGCTGCGGATCATTTTTCGGGCCGTAGACCTGTGAAACGCCATGGGTCAAGCAAACTGCAGTTGCAAAGGCGTGAGTCATGGAGCCCAGTGCCTTTGAGCTGACCACCAATCGATTTGTGCGAGTTATATAAGTTATATATATATATTTCTTCTCTTTGGATCCATTCTTTTTTTGAAAACATGACGCAATAAGCACCGAGGGCCTTGGTGAACAACACGATGGACATTTTCGATAGAACTTAAGGGCTCACGGTAGCTCACAACATTTGCAGCCTCCAAGGCAAAGAATGTCTTGACGCTCTGACACGCTTGGTGCCGTCCTTTTCTTTCGGTCGGTTCCTTTTTGCTGGGCGAACTGCGTCTCAATTTGCTGCGCAAGCACCTTTCTGAGGCTGTTGCTAGCTATGGCATCTCAAAGTCTTGTTGGGAATGCTCAAAGCACACCATTCCACATGCTGCTACACCACGGCTGTGAAATTAGTGCTGGTAGTCGTGCTTGTTAGCATCAAGGCATGGCACACCTGTGCACCATCCAAGGAGATCCCAGTTGACTGGAAGTGACAGAAGTTGATGACATGGAGTTTGTTGCAACTGTTTTTCATGGACATGGCACAAGACGAATGTGAGACAACTTTGGCAACAGCAGTGGGGCTATTGAAGCGAACCCCAGAAACATCAGACAAGAGTTGAGTCTTGTGTCATATCAGTCATTCTCTTTGCATATCATTTTTGCGGTCTCTTCTTTGCATATCATTTGTATCTCGCAAGATCGGTTGGGAGAGCTCATGCCACCATCTACTTGACGGTTGTCGAACTTTCGCCAGGTGGTCCTCCAAGGTGATGACCCTGTGCCAACCTCAGGGCTGATTTGGCCTTGAGACCTCCCAGAGTCTGGGATTCAAGAGGACAGATTCGTGAACGTTGATTGATGTTGAGCTCCCAACTCGGCTACTCACGGCTGAGGCTCCTCCACCTATGCCCAGCGCGCCCAGCTCGCCCAAGGTGGCGCAGCCTGCTTCCGCCTCTCCAGCCTGTCCCGCTCCGGCCGCGGCCGCCCCTGTGGCCCCTGCGGCCACTGCGGCCCCAGCGACCAGAGCCGCCCCTGCGGCCAGTGCCTCTGCGGCTGAGAAGCCGCCCAGTGCCCGGGCAAACAGACGAGCAAGCATCATGAGCGACAGCATCTCTGAGCAGAGTTCCGGTGGCCTGGCAGGCCAGCTCGCACAGCACTAACCTTGCGTGACCAGTGGGTTGGATTTCTGTATCTAGACTTGAGACTTGAGACCAAGTGAACCACGAAGGCGGTTCACACCAGGAAGACTTTGAGGATTCAGACAAAGACCAGAGAGGGAGGGTCATTGTGAGTAGAAACAAACTCGAATGCTTTCCAGCAAGGAATGGCTGTTTGAAGCGCTCCTTAGGAACGGGGAATATGATTTACATTGATATACTAGATTCTAAGCGTCTGTTTTAATGAATCTATCTATCGTTTGTAGGGCAGGAGTACCACACCAAACGCGGTCTTCTTGTCTCTCTCTCTCTCTCTCAATTGTCATTTGGGAAAGCCACTTTCATCAACATGTTCGCGCAGACATTGCTGATATGTGGGACTGACTGGGGCAAGCGCTGGTCCCCATTTTCCTCTCCCACCCAATGCCTCCCAAGCTCCACGGCAGGCAGAAAGCCTCCAACGCCTCTGCCGTGCTGGCATGCTTTGCGAAAAGGATGCATGATGGTGGGCTGGAAGTTTTGTCAGGAAGTCTTCACATGCTGTATACTGTATACTTTAAGGAACTTCAAGGATGGTGATGCCCTGAAAAGAGAAAGCCCTTTATAATTTATACTGCCGTATGAGGGGTGTGCTGATGAGAGCCGTGCACCACGAGGTCACTTGATGGAACTTCTGTGCGACGCCCAAGCCTAGTCATTGGCGCAGACCACATTGGCCTGCACTGTAGATTGGCTCAGACAGCTCAGACATTGAGACCAGCTGCAACCAATACAGGAAAGGAGTGTGTGGTTCCTTGTCTGAAGGCATGGTAGTTTGGGCAAGGGTGCCCAAATTCCTCAATTTCAGTGTTCATTTTTACTTCACGTGATTTCCTTGACGCGCAGTTTTGTTTCACGGGCTATATAAATTCGAGCTGCTTGGCCCTGCAGGTCATATGGCCACATATGTTCTGGGTCAGGAGATGACCACAAAGTTGAGCACCCGTAGATGATCAGAGTCTAAAACGGCGTTGTGAAGAAACTCTGTTGTCAGCATGGTCAAGTCTTGCTGAGTAAAACCTCAACAATTCACAGACAGCAAGGCCCAGTTGGTAAAGCCTTTCTTCAGCATTTTCTTCTTTCTTCATTGATGTTCATTGCATTTTCCCAGTTCTCAGAAAAAACGCACCTCTAACGTTGAGGCCAAATCCACGCCGCGGAAAGAGATTGGGTGGGAGAACCCAAGGGGCAGCCATTATTGAGCTCTCTTTTGAAAGCTGTAGCGAATTGCCACCAGCACCAAGATATGTCAGGTCCTGCACAATTGGCTTTCAGCTAGACATGCAAAGGAGGAATGCCTACTTCCGAGATCTGCGCAGGTTCACTCCCGGCCTGCGGCAGCCATCCAAAGCGACGGACAGGGACTTAGAATGGGGGCAATAGACCAGAAAAAGAATAGGGACTGCCCGGCCAATGGAGCCATATGGAGCCATATGGAGCCAATGGAGCCCTGGTCTTTCCTTTCAAAGGAGCCGGTGTGAGCGTGTTGACTCCGGTTGACTCCCAAACTGTTGGTTCTCGATGCCTGAGATTCCACCACTTGCTAAAAGGGGCCCTGTGATGCGTGTGGGCGCAGTTCATCCATCCAGGAGTCTTTCAGCAACGAAATCCAGAAACCAGTTGTCATGGTTTGGACATCCAGTGCATTGCCTTTGCACAGGCTTCAGCTTCTTCCTCAGCAGAGGAGGGGATCGAGGGTTTGGGGCAGTTCCTTGGAACAATCTCCTTGTTTTTGCACACTACTCGTAACAAGAAGCTATTGGGTTGGAGGCCATCGCTATTATGGTGGAGGCCCTTACTATTAGGTTTCTTTCCATCACTATTAGGGTGGATGCCATTGCTATTAGGTTGGAGGCCATCGCTACTAGTGAACTTAATTTTTCCTTCCGCTTGGCGTCGATGCCTTGTTTTTGCTTCTATTTTTATCTCTGCGCACTGATGTGCTGATACCAATGTGGAATGAGCTAATGCTGCCCTCTCACCAGCCACAGAACCTTCTTTCCGCTGCACTGCCAGGCATGGAGCAAAGTACAAGCAAATGGCAAGAGCGGAATCAATCAGGCAATGCTCTGCGGTCAAAACAGTTCGGAATGCAAGGAGTTCCCTATTTGTAACGGTTGGCGTCAAGTACCTTTAAGTGGGTCAACCTTGTGACTAGATGAACAGAATCAATCATTCATGTTCATTTCCCGGGTTTTTGGGTGCTTAGTTTGACCCTTACCCGCACCCATATATAATGATCCAGGAACTTCTTTTGGTTTGGGGCTGCTTTGGGCACTTGAGCATTGCCCTTTTTGCCCAGGAGAACTTCTCTCAAAAGTCAGCGACACAGTGGAACGATGCTGAATCGCACGATGCTTTCGTGGAGCTCTACCCGCTAGTAATAACAAGTGCCACGCTAGTAGTAACAAGTGCCTTACTAGTAACAAGAAGCTACTAGGAACAAGTGCATCGCTTCTAGTAACAGGTGCCTTACTAGTAGTAACAAGAAGCTATTAGAACGGAGTGAGGATTCACCCGGAACCGAGGTTGGCCATGGATCCGGACATGGCGATGAAGATCATGGCCTACAAAGAGCGACAGGAGCGCAGGGTGTCCGCGTAGGGGAAGACCTGTGTCCGCAAAGTCTTAAGTCTCCATACACCTGATATACTGGTGCCTACGCCAAGCAAAGCACCAGAGAAGTCAAGGGTAATTCTTAAGGGTTTTGCACTTGTCTCTTGACTGCAGGAGCGCCGTGGAAAGAAGAAGTTGGGCATGGCTGCTGAGGATTGACCAACTCATTGTGTGCATGTGGCCGTCACACATATAGCCTTGTTGGCTGTGGGGTTTGTGGTTGAAGGGATTCCATCCAATTTTGGTATCATTTGTCTGTACTAGTGTAGTATAAAGTATAATGGGCCATCAATTTGAAACAATGCCTACCACTGAGTGCATGCCAACTACTCGTACTTCCAATGCACGCAGAGAGTCAAGCTGACACGCCTTCAGAATGCTTTACTGTATACTTTTTCATCCAGATTCGAAACCTTGATGATCATCATTTGGCAATGATACAATGATCTTGTCATTGTGCAGGAAGCGTACCTCTCACAAGTGCTCCTTGGCATCCAGCTTCAGAGAATAGTTTTAAAGCATAGTAGCAAGTGACATGTGAGAACAACGATTTGTTGATACTCTTTGTCGGCGGATGCTTCAGGCCTGAAGTGGAACGTGACATTCCCTTTCACTTCATGTTCGAGGCAGGATTGCATTCAGTTGTTCTCCTTGATGTCATCCCTAAGTTGAGTTTGTCCGAATGCTTTCTGATTTTTGGATGAGATGAAGCTCAGGTGAACGGAGAACTCCATGAGATTGCGGTCAAGAACGCTTGCGAAAGTCTGGCGAACCTGGCAGCGTCGGTCATTGGGTTGGACGAACCCTTTGTCTCCTTTGGACCCTGTTGCCTGACCGCTAGCGTAGTCGTAGCCAGCTGTCCTCACCAAGTGCCAACCATTTCAGCCCAAGAGCTGGCATCATGGCAATGGAGCAGATCACAATTTAATCTCTGAAGAAACCTATCCTTCTTTTTCAGCTTCCACTGCTACTTTCGCCACATCCCGATGTCCAAAAACGCGACCCCTGGACTTCACCTCCGGGACTTCCACGGTCTCGTCTTCCCAGGCGACAACGCCCAAGCCTTGCGGCAGAGTCCGGAGACGTCCCTGGGCATCGACCGGGTCGCCGAACGCGTCGAACACGCAGAGTCCGGCGGCCGAAGACGGACTTTAGGTCAAGATTTGGACCAGTCATACGGGAGGAGACTTTTGGTTCCTAGCGAATCTCAGTCTTGAACAGTTCTAGGGCCTCTAATTTGCCTTTGAAGGATGTCAGTTGAGTCATGATGTCCAGCGCTGGCCACAGGTTTACATAAAGCTCAATGGTTTCCGAATGGAGAGGTTCACTCTCTCACTTGGTTTTAAAGGGATTCTGCGTTGCTTCCTCCACTTGGTTCACCTGTTCCACTCTGCAGTTTCCATTTGCTCAGGAACTCACAGAGCTCCAGAAGCTCAGAAAAGGCAGAAAAGGTGCCCTCCAAGACCTGCTTGGGGCCCGGGTGCAGTTGGGAAGAACTTGAGTCGCAACTGTGTCTTCATTTGGAAGGGCTCCAATTTAGGGGCTGTAGGAACCGCACCAGGCGAGGGTTTGCGGTTTGCCCATTTTGAGAGACCTTCCCACAAAGACCGAAGACCCAGGAGGGGCTTGACTTTGAGATGGTTGGAGCTCGGTATTTGCATCACCAGAGAAGACCACCCTCATCGTCTAGCATGCTCCTCATTGATCCCTTCCGTGGCCACTTTGCTGAGATCGTTCTGGCAGTGCCACCTTCCTACCCTATGTGAGCTTGTGCGTTGAGGGCCCAAGTTGGAGAGAGTGCAATATTGGACAAGATAGCCACTGGATTACAGTATGGAATCAGTTCCTGCAAGATCAGGACAATGTGTGAAAATATCCAGCCCTGAGCAGAAACCTCTCTGCAATGCCCAAGGAGATTCCAAGGGTGGAAACAGCCTCCCTGCAGATGGCGCGCAGGTCAGTGAAAGAAGGGCCCATGTGTTGATGTCAACCAGAGGATTTTTGTGATTGGTCACCCATGAATTTGTCAACCACTTTCTGTTCATTCTGCAGCTCTTTGTTCCGTGTGAGATGATTTGGTTGGGCGGGCGCCCTCGTCCAGGCCATCCAATTCCAAGGTTCGGCACGGCTTCTCAGATTGCCAGGGGACGGAATGAGCTTCAGTCTTGGAATAACTACTCGTGGCAAAGGTGTAGGCATACCAGCCTCAACGTCTTGTGAGAGCCCAGTGGTTGAAGCGGCCTTGATGCTTGTGAGATGCTTGGTAAGGTTGGCAAAGATGTCTTTCCGAATTTTGCCCCATGGGTCCAGCTGGCACATTGCGAGCCTGGATTTCTTGAGCAGAACCCCCCATACCAGGTCTTTTGGAGGCCATCGCATCTAGGTTGGAGGCCATCGCTAGTAGGATGGAGGCCATTGCTTGTCGAAGGGAGCGGGAGTGAAGGATATGACGTTCTTTTGGCCTGGATGACAGGTCGAAGGCCGTTTGCAGGTTTTCAAAGGATCACTTCATACCCAGAAGCAAAAGTAGCTAACGCACAGCTGTGTGTGACGTATTTTTTGTTTTTTGTATTTGTATACAGGTTTGAGTATTTTGCAGGCTTCACTGCAACCCTCGCCACTCAAAGACCAGCCAGCAAATGTATTGTCATCACAGTAACAGTCACCGAATATACTTAACTAAATGCCAGAAACAGAGGCAGTGAGGATTTGAAGTTCTGTTGTACCCCACCAATGTGCAAGTGACCATTGTCAGTAAACTATGTCCACCTTTTTTTGAACGTCTTCTACGGGCTAAACCTACATGCAACTGGCTTGTCCAACATTTTGCTTTCTGGTCAAAGCAGTCTGCCAGGAAGCTAACAAAAGCATGCAACAGTGCTTCTGATGTTGGCTCCTCAGACCTGCAACAGGTCAACCTGCAACACCGGAGTTGTTGTGAAGTTGTTTCATATAAGTTGCTTTGTGCAATTTCCCAAGCATACTCTCTTCTGCTTTGGCTTTGGATCTTCTCAAGTTGTTTTTGGAAGACGTATTGACTTTAACTTGCAGAAGACTGGCATTGGGAAGCACCGGTGGAGAAATCCGGAGAAACATGTGGTTGGCGTCAAACATATTGATGTCCCAAGCATAAGAAAAGATCAAAAGGGAATTTTGGACGAACTACGATACTTAGCAGATGGACCACCTTGTGGATGTGTGACAAGCTGCTGGACATTGGCTGAACTAAGGCAGAAAACTGCTGCATGATTTTCATGGTCACCATTGATGACACTGTAGACAAGGTGCGCGACATTTGTTGACAAATCATAGCACCAAACTGAAAGACAAGCGAAGAGACATACAGTAGATCTGACTCTAGATCCGAGAACGAGCTGAATGGGGACGCAAGATTCATGAGTGGCTGTAATGCATCTCCTTTCAATTCTTTTTGGTCTAGTGGAGTCTAGCTTGTGGCTTCTCAGCAAAATTAGTTTATCCAAGTGAACAGGGTGCTGCGATCCTCCAGAGACTGGAAGAGATTGAGAAGGCAAGGCTCATTTGCGTCCTGGAGCCTGAAGCTGAAGATATCTGCCCAAAACAGGTGAAAGGAAGCAATTGGAAGTGTTGAAGCGAACCACGAATGACGTAGGCGATGTGCTTGGAGGCATCATTATCATTGCAAATAGTACTGAGGACAAATAGCAATCCATAGGGGCAGATGGATTTGTTCTGCTCCTGAAGGCCAAGGGCTTTATGCTCACGTGGATGGATCTTGGATTGGTTTCTCCGGGACAATTGACTGACTCCATTCAAACCACTTCCCGTTTGCTCCAGATGATGCTCCAGATGACCGAGTCCATCCCAGCCACCCGGCGACCGGTCCGCACCTTGTCTTCGACGAACGGTTCGCTGGGCAGAAAGGATGGCGCTTCACACAGTGTTCACATGCATTTTTTTGTTTACTCCTTGGACCTCGGCTCCTTTTCCCTAGGTGCCAGCGATTTTTCTACTGCACAAGCCGAGGAGGGGGCTTTGGGCAAGTACTTGGGCAGCTGGGGGAAAGAGACTTGCTAAAAAGTCACATGACCATTTGACTGCATGATCCAAGCAAGAATGACCATTGGACAGTCCTCACGCATTGGCAATACGCAGGGCTGACGTCAAGTCATGGCAAAAGGTCTTCGAGGAGTACGAGGAGCTGCTCGCATTGAGAAGATGTCAGGATAATTCAGGAAAATACACGATACTATATACACATGCACTTGCCAATGTGAAATATAGGACAAACATAAAACATAAGTGCTCAAAAGCATTTCTAGCAAAGTCGCAGAAGGACCACACTGATCTCTTTTACCTCTGAGTGTGTGTCTTTTGCCCCTGCTGTCCAAACCTTGGTCCTACCTATGCTGACTGAGACATGTGAGCCTTCTTGGCTTCCTTCTTCTCATCATGTCCATCAGAGCGATGAAAGTTTTGCTAGCCTGATCGACAGCCTGCAGGCTACCAAAGGCACAACCCTTCGGTATGGCCCAATGAGCCTGGGCCTCAGGTAGAACTTGTTTCCTGTCAGTGAATAAGTTTCATTAAAATCTCCACTTGAAAACTTTTAGTGCCACTAATGCGAAGTTACTTAAGTAGTAAAGCGTGCACCTACGGCCTTCCTATTCTCTTGCTTGTAGCATTCTTGTTCAAGAACTGCCTTTGTTCCAGTTACACTTCCTGTGTGAACAACGTCGGGTCCTGAAGCCGAGGCATGGAGGATGGTAATGCCATCTACGAGGCCTTTGCGAACTTGGCCACTTCCAGGACTGTTTCATGCACAAGGCTGAAATTCCCATGGCTTCTTGATTAGGTGAAAGTGATGCCATAGCTACTGACGGTTAGCATTTGGTTTCTCATAATTTTATTTCTTCTAAGTTAGCTATGACGCGGAGACTTCCAGGATCCATGCGCAGGAGAAGGGTCTGGTGCTTAGAACAGTGTGCGGTGCAGATCAGTGATGACATAGGTGGACCACCCTTGAATTGAACTAATATAGCTTTTCTGTGAGAAGCTAGTAGCAGCAGTCAGATGGTGAGAGGTCAAGCAAACGTGCTTATGTTTATGTGCTCGTGCCCGGTAACGGTTCAAAAAAATCAAGCTGCCGACGTTATTCGAGAATCCATCTATTTTGCGGACGGGAGCCCATGTGGTTGCTGGGGTGGCCCTGGCTTGTGTCATTCGCAGACTTGGGGACTGCTTTGCGAACTCATCAGGATCTGACAGGATGTGAGTATCGCCAGCTATTGAGTGCTGAAGTTACAGAGACTTGGTGGGGGAACGTGGAGGTGAAGTATTGCGGAACATCGATGGTTCTGACCAGCTCGGCGTCCCAAGCGGATGCTTGGGCCGAGGTGAATTGGTTGCTTCCCAGCCTTCAGGAACAACAGTTTGACGAAGAAGACCTCGCCATCCTGAAAAAGCACTTGGGAAGTTATCAGTACTCCATGGCTGTTGGAATGCTGGGCCGAGGCCTAGTACCTTCAGAACCTAGCAATATGGAGTGGGGGTTCAAAGGTTCCGGCGCAGCTCTTGTCAAATCAGTTCTGTCCTTTGAGGTGAAGTTGGGCGATGCTCTCAACAAGTTGCCATCGACCACTGGAGATTTGTGGCGGGGTGCCTGGCTACCTCCGGAGACACTTGAGACCATCACCAACGCCTTCGCTCAGGGTTCCAGTGTGAAGTTTCCCTGGTTTCAGTCCACCACCACCGACAAGACACACTCCTACACCTTCATTCACAGCAAGTGGCAGCCTGCTTATTGCGCTCCGAACTGTGAGAAGAGAGGCTATGCCTTCCCTGTCCACTTCCACATTCAGAGCTGCCTTGCCAAGAATGTGACTGAATGGAATGCGGATGAGAAAGAACTTCTTCTGCTTCCCAATTTACCTTTTAAGTCAACAAGGTGATCAAGTTGGCCAATGATCCCTTGTGGGAAATGACTTCTCATGAGCTGGAGGCATGGCTCCGTGAGTCGCACACGCTGTCTGAATGGTACACGAGCCAATGGGACAACTTTGTGAAAGATCCTCAACGGCCTCGTGGTCCCTGGCCGGCTCTAGCAGATCTGGCGCACCAATGGATGTGGAATGGCCCCGTCTTTCTGCTTTGGCATTCTACAAGGTTCTCAAATCCAGGGCTTGGCATCGCAGAATCCATGAATATCTCATGGACAGATCAATATGAATTGACTGAGGTCTTGCGATCTCGTTTCCGCCTGGGTAGTATCTCCCAGATGGGTGGCCAGTCCACAAACGCTGTGCACTATTTCCACTCGGTGGAGATGGCGGATGAAAGACCCTGCGCAATGTGACAGATGTAACTCTGAAGCTGGACAAATGCATAGCAAGCTGCGGGGGTGGGGAAGGTTTGTCTGAGAAATCAGTGAAAGAGCTCTTTTCCCTTGCGGAATAGCCTTCCATCTCTTGGTGCCTGGAAAGGCAACTTCTGCCGTTTCTGGAATTACTCAGGCTTCACCAGCAGGCAGCTATGGAGCTCTGACGTGCGGGCAGCAAGGGTGGGGAAGGCAGACGTGGTTCCCTTAGGGCAAGAAATCGTCAAGAAAAGTCAAGGCTTAGTGAAGCCCCGCAAAAAACACTATATAGATAATATCTATATTTGTCAATAGGGATGAGGTCCCAGTATAGTTGCTATACAGGTACATGCCATATACCATTTTGGCTCAAGTGCCCAACCAGGTAAAAAGGAGCTTTAGCGCGCGAGCTTCATGTTGAACTAAGGGCTAGAACGGGGCCAGGGCACACCTTTCCATCCGTTCGCAGGTTATCAGCCGTATCCAGACTCCTTTGAGCTGGGTACGAGCTACGGCCTTACATAACACCATCTAAACGCACACGCATCGGATAGACCAGTTACCCTCAGTCACTGAAGATGGACCAATCCGACGCCAGCACTGCATCTTTTGGAGCAGCTGCTGCGGCCGCAGATCGGATGAGCGCATCCCACAACTCTAGTCCAGGTACGATCGAAGTGGAGACTCTGGCAGCGGTGAGAGAAAATGCGACAGGTAGAGCACGAAGTCGTTCCCCGTCAGCGCACTCGACACCACCGGGGGGGACACCGAGATCAGGCCGTAGCCCTAGGGAGACAAGGAGGAGAACTGACACCGGAGCTGTGAGAGTGCTAGCATTGGAGGATGGGTCAACTGTACCAGTGCCGTCGGACAGCGAAGCTGGAGATGGAGCAAGGGCAAGCACTGACAACCTACAACTAGCACGGGCCGATGGAGACCTCAATGCAAAGTGTGCACAACTACTTGCCGAAGTGCATATGTTGAACCACCAAAACGCATGGATGGTCGAATGTGAGCAGAGACAGAACCAGATTATACAACACGAGACCGAAGTCCACGAAGTAGTGATGGCACACCTCGAAGAATGTTATGTCGAAGGATATGGAAATCAACGAAGAATCTCCCAACTTACAGAATCCAGAGACTGTTTGCTCTCAGCAGCACACGATTTGCAATATCAGATTGACACTGATCGTGTGGCAATGCGGGATCGTCTCACCCAGTTAGGGGAGTACGCTGATCGCAACAGCGCAGAGATGGTTAGTCAAGTCGTGAACATCGGCGCGGAAGAGATCCAGGCTGTATCGGCGGAAAGAGATCGAGCCGTAACCGAGCTCATGACTGCAGTCGCAGATGCTGAGAACATTAGGGATCTGTATAGACAGGAGTTAGTTGGACTACAAAGGCAGAGTGCCAGGAACAAACACGAATATGCTGAGGAGATGAAGATGAAGGAAGCAATGTATGCAAGCAAGATCAAATGGTTATCAGAAGAGAATGAGGAGCTCAACAACCGATCTTATAATCAGGACAATTTCATCATGACCATCAGAGAGCAATTGAAGAGGGCGAACGAGGAGTTGACACAGGCGAGGATTCAAGGATCCGGTCGACCGTCTCAACCATCCAACGCCGAACTCAAGAAAGCCGAGGTCAAGGTGAACATGTTGGAAGAGGACATTCTACGTAAAGAGAGGATGCTGAAACGTCTTCAGGAAGAATTGATCGAATCAAGTGCAAGTGAAGCACAACTGAAGGTCGCACTGGAGTTGAAACCACCAGACATGGGATCACAACCCAATGTGGAGAACGAGATGATGACCAAGCTTAGAGCGGAACTTGGACGTACCGAAAAGTCATTAAGGTCCGAGGAGAAAGAGGCAATGGAGTACTACGAAGGTATGATGCAGAACCAACAGGACATGATGGAATTCGAAGCGCATGCAGCACGGCTCAGAGATGAGAGGAATAAGTACCGGAGGAGGTACGAAGAGGAGCGCTTGAATGCTGAGAATGCAGCCGCAACCGAACATGGTGCCGCTTCATCCTCTAGCTCGGGTGGCTCCAAGATATCTCGGAAGGAACACGAGAAAATCAACATCCCTGCATGGCCCAAGATACACGACCTGGAGGTTTGGAAATCCCAGGTTGTAGCGGCAGTCGTGACGGCATCGGGCGACGAAAGACAAGAAGATTGGATCCAATGGCTCTCGGATGCCTTCAGATCACCGTATGACCCATTCCTGCTCGAGACATCAGGCGAAGCAAGATTCGCTAGCATAGACGCTAAGCTAGGTATCACCCTACATACGATCATCCACGCAGCAGGTGAGAGATCTCATGATGTACAACTGAAGGTGAGGCAGATGATGCAGAGACGTGCGAGAGGTACAACTCCTGGAATGGTCAAGGGACGAGAAATGTTAGCGTTGATCGTCGATAGCTTCCGGAGTGCCGACAACGTCGATGTGATGTATGCATCCAAGCACTTATTCGATCTAAAGTTCCCTGGGGATAATCAACTATCCAGATTCCTTGGACAGTGGGATGAGATCATATCAGGTATGGATGCGGACGACATGCTTCCTGACAAAGCACTCCGCAACCTGCTCTGGGACAAGATTAAGGATTCCAAAGTTATGGCGTTAGACTTGTCTGTGTACGACAACATGTTGGATAAGGATCCGGATAAGACCTACCAGAAGTTACGAGAAATCATGGCGAAGTGGATACGGAAATCAATCGAGACCGCAAACAAGAAAGAAAGGGAAAAAGCTTTTGGGAACCTCGTGAAAGCCACACCAGCGGCGGAGAAGAAGGACCCTAAAGCGAAACCCAAGAATACCAAGGCCGATCCACCGAAGGACGCCGCTCCAGTACTTCCTCAGGCTAATCCGAAGGACCACAACAAGAAGGACAAGAAGCAGGATCGTGAAAGATCAACCACGAAGAGCCCAAAAGGGGATCGTGGCAGGTCAGCGACTCCAGCAGATACGTCCAAGATAGGATGCGCCTTCCACTTCCATGGGAAAAACGGATGTTCTAGAGGAGACAAATGCAAGTTTAGTCACCAAGAGAAGCACAAAAGTTCTGCTAAGAAACCAGAAAGCCTCAAGGGTGACAGATCAAAGAGTCCTGGTGGCAGGAGCACTAGCCCTAAGCCAATGAAGGATCAGGTCTGTTGGAATTGGCAGAAAGGATCGTGCAAGTTCGGTGACAAATGTCGACGTCAGCATCACGCTGCTCCTGCTACAAAACAAGAGGCTAAAGGCAAAGCCAAACCCAAACCGGCTGCACCAGCCTTCATGCTTTGCGGAGACATCGAGAGTGATGGCGAGGACGCGCGACCCGCACTTCCCAACGTACAACAAGGTAAGCTGGCGCTTCGCTTTAAAGTCAGATTCGACGACCGGGCGAGTGTGACCACGTTTACCTGTGATCCTGGTAACGAGCTAAATACCCGTCCTCTCAGGAAGAAGAAGGATGAGGTGCAGAAGGTGGATACCGAGCTCATTTCGTCGTTGAGAGCCCTCAGAGTGAGTAACATAGCTGCACGAGTAGCACATGCCAAAGGTAAGATGATGGAGCTATACTCTGCTGAACATATTGCCAAGGCATGGATACAAACCACTCAAGATGAAGGAATCGAGGTGAACGTCGACCTATCTGACTTCAACACCAGCGAGGTAGTAAAGAAGGATTCTGTCAACTACACGATACCAGGAGACACGATGTTCATGGCTGTGGAGAGGTATGATGGACCACCGATACGCTTCATCATGGACACGGGATGTGGACACGACTTGATCTCAAGAGAGAAAGTCAACGCCATGGGCCTTACCACCAAGGAAGGACCCAAATCCGTGAGCTTCATGACAGCGAATGGTGTAACTAGTACATCAGAGATGGTGGACATCAATGTGGACGAACTACCCATGATGTCTGAGGCACACGTGTTGGAGAGCACACCATCAGTCTTTTCCATCGGGAAACGGTGCATGGAACAAGCCTACATCAAGGTGAATGATGATGACGGGAGATGTTTACCAAGACCAGACGGCTTGGCTACGATACTTCATCGCATACTGTCAGGTGTGGGGCATGAAGACGAGGCCACAGCAGGTCAGGAGACACAACAAGAGGAACCTCCGCCCAAGAAACCACGGAGACGGAGGAGAAAGAAGAAAGATAACCAGAGAGATCGAGATGGTGAATCCGATATCAATCCAGCGGTTGCAGGCGTCGAAGGAGGACCAGAGGAACACGGTGATGATAGGTATTCGCCTGAAGAGGAATATGACGGGGAAGACCCGAGAATCGATCGTGATCACGATGGTCAACCTGAAGAAACCGAAGACGACGAACGTGGAGGTGATGCGGATTCTGAACGAGAGGAGAGTGACATTGGTGAAGATGAAGAGGGACTATTGGAAGTCGATGTGGTTGATGTGGAAGCCAGACTATCAAAACCAGGAGTGCTGAAGAATGAGGCGAAATCCATATTGCACCTGATGACGCACCGATACAAGAACCCATACTGCAAGTCATGTGTGAGAGCAAAGATGAAGCACTACAAGACTAGCAAGGGAGCTTTCAAACGGAAATTGAAGGCATTTGGTGACCTTATCACCTTCGATCTCATGAACACTCAGAAGATGGCGAGAGATGGGATCATGCCGGATAAGGATGTATTGGTGATTCGAGATCGGTTCACTGGTGTGATATGGGGCTATCCATTGAAAGCAAGCAATAGTGACGAAGTGGTGCAGGCGATGAAGCACTATATCGGTAAGAGAAAGGTCACCAACGCTTACTCGGATGATGCGCCACAATTCGAAGCAGCGCTCAAGGAACTCCGGATTCCATTAGACCAGTCGCTTCCAGGACATCCCCAGAACAATTCACTCGCCGAAAGAAACAATCAGTTCATGATGCTTACCACATCGACATGCTTACTAGAAGCCGGACTACCACCATGTTTTTGGCCATTTGCAGTGGAG